TTTTATTTATTTATTTGAGAGAGAGAGAGAGAGAGAGAGAGACAGAGAGACAGAGAGACAGAGAGAGAATGAACAGGGGAGGGGCAGAGGCAGAAACAAGCTTGCCACTGAGCAGGGAGCCCGAGGTAGGGTTCAATCCCAGGATCCCAGGATCATGACCTGAGCTGAAGGCAGACTTAACCCACTGAGCCACCCAGACACCCCTGTGGGTCCTTACTTCTGCCGGGCTCTGTGCTAGGGCCTGGGATGCCCTTGCGAGTGGAGGTGAATGCTATTTTTTGATCCTTATCTTTCCCTGTTTACTCAAGCTTCTGGTTGAGAAGAATGTTTTGAAAGAGTGATAAGTGATAGTCAATAGACTGGAATCCAAATTCAGATCTACACGCTTCCAGCCATTGCTCTCAACCACGGCACTATCTTCTAGCACCAAGAAGAATTAGCAGTCTGAAGAGGCACCATAAAAATGCTACGTATTACACGCAGTAATAATGGTGGAGAACTAACAGGCCACGTTTCATAGATAAGGAAACTGAGCCTGATGGGTTTATTGGTGGGCTGTTTTAATCTGATTAACCCTCCCCGTGCCTGTCATCTAATCAGGTTTTTGTCCTCTATCACTTGGGAAAGGGTGGAGGACTCCTTCCAGGGTGGTGTAAAGTCCTTCTAAGGGTAGTTTCCTCTTAGGGTGGGGTCTTTGTCCCTGCCTGCCTCTCTTCCAGTTATCCTTCATCAGATATGCTGAGAGAGGGTTGAGCTGAACTGTGTTCCCTCAAAAAATTCACAATTGGGGATCCCTGGGTGGCGCAGCGGTTTGGCGCCTACCTTTGGCCCAGGGCGCGATCCTGGAGACCCGGGATCGAATCCCACGTCAGGCTCCCGGTGCATGGAGCCTGCTTCTCCCTCTGCCTGTGTCTCTGCCTCTCTCTCTCTTTCTCTCTCTCTCTGTGACTATCATAAATAAATAAAAATTTAAAAAAAATTCACAATTGAAATTTTAAGCCCTTAGTACCTTAGAATGTGATTGAATTTGGAGATGGAGTCTAGAAAGAGATAACTAAGGCTAAACGAAGTCACCAGTGGGGTCCTTATCCAATATGACTGGCATCCTTATGTGAAGGGGAAGAGACACCAGGTAGGCTCTCGCACAGGGAAGAGATGATGTGAGGACACAGCAAGAAGGTCCCTGTGATATTGTGATTGATTACAAATATGTATTTGCTCACTCAGATGACTAAAATATATTTCCTATACATTTATATTTGGCCTTTGTTCATGGTTCTGGTCTCACAGCTCTCAAAATCCTTGGAATTTACTGAGTGATAGGAGAAACAGGGCACATCTTTTGTCATAACATTCGGTTTCTTACCCTCAGTTCCTAACATGGCTTTAGGACCATAAAGACTAAATGGGTGTCTTATTATTCACAAGTCCCTTTATTTTATTAAACAAATTTTTTTATTGGAGTTCAATCTGCCAACATATAGCATCACACCCAGTGCTCATCCCACCAAGTGCCCCCCTCAGTGCCCATCCCCCAGTCACCCCAACCCCCTGCCCACCTCTCCTTCCACTACCCCTTGTTCATTTCCCAGAGTTAGGTGTCTCTCATGTTTTGTCACCCTCACTGATATTTTCACTCATTTTCTCTCCTTTCCCTTTATTCCCTTTCACTAATTTTTATATTCCCAACAAGTCCCTTTATATCACAACTGGGTTGTTTTTTTTTGTTTGTTTGTTTGTTTTTTGTTGTTGTTTTTTTTTTTTTAACAAGGTAACTTTTGGAAAGCACCTAACAAGGTAACTTTTGGAGGCTGGCTGCCAGGAGGGGATCCACCATGAATAGAGGGTGGAACTTTTACTCACATCTCCGGATCTCTGGGCATGGGAAAGGGGCTGGAGGTTGAATTGATCACCAATGACCAATGATTTAATCAATTATGCTGATGTAATGAGGCTTCCACTAAACCCCTACAGGACTGGTTTCAGAGAGCTTTTGGGTTGGTGAGCATATGGAGGTTTGTGTCCTCTGAGAGAGCGTGGAAGCTCTGTGCCCTTTCCCCACACCTTGCCCTGTGCACCTCTTCCATCTGGCTCTTCCTGAGTTATATCCTTTTATAATAAACTGGTGATCTAGCAAGTGATATGTTTCTCTGAGTTCTGTGAGCTGCTGTAGCAGATTAATTGAACCCAAGGACATGGATTGCTCATTAAGAGCTTCCAATCTGTAGCTTGTTGCTCAGAAACAGGAGCAATAACCTGGGCTTGGGACTGACATCTGAAGGGAAGGGGTGGTTGTGTGGACCTGTGCCTTTAACCTGTGGGATCTGACGCTGCCTCCAGGTAGATCTTGTTGGAACTGAATTGAATTACAGAACATCCAGCTGGTGTGTGAGAATTGCTTGTTGGTGTGGGAACCCTCTCCAAACACACACACACATACACACACAGAGAGACTTTGCAAATTGGGTCCCAGAATCCCATCTAGTGGTCATCTGCAAGACAAGGAGAGAGACCTCAGGAGAAGCCAACCTCACCTGCATCTTGACCTTGCACCTCCAGCCTCCAGAACTGTGAGAAAATAAATTTCTTTTAATTGAGTCACCAGTGTGTGCTGTTTTATGGTAGTCCCAACTATCTAATACCGAGAGCAAGTTCATTCATCCAGGTGAAGTTTTGCTAAATGTTTTAACTTTTCAACCTTAGGGTGAAGTTACTATATGAGGATGTGTATTTCTACTCTCATCTAAATCCAAAGGCAAATCACTGAGTCCCATAAAGTAATAAATCGTGTGGATAGGGGTAAAAAAAGAAAAGTTAGCTGTGTGTATGTGTGTTGGGGGGGAGGGTAATGTGCAAAAATATTAGATTATATATATATATATATATATATATATATATAGAGAGAGAGAGAGAGAGAGAGAGAGAGAGATGCATTTCAATTTATTTCTAGCACTAGAAAATAGATTTAGAGAGGTTCCCACTCCACTCTGTAGTACAGATTCACAGATTCATCTGAATTCTTTGCCATGAACTCTCCCTGTGGCACAGAAGCTGAGCATGGAAGCGAGGAAGCTCACTGACCACTATGGGAGACTAACCTTGCCGCATGGGAGCAAGCTTTGGTAAAGCCCAATTAACAGTACGGGCTCTTTGGCTGAATCCTGATGGAGGATCATAAGAAAATGTACTAAACAGATTTAAGCAGGAAGAGGTGTCAAGAAAGAGTGAAAAGGAAACAGGAAATAGTAACTGTTTGAACGTTAGAGGATTAATGAAAACAATTATTTAATGATCTGGTGTCATAGCCTTAATTGGTTTGGAAAAACCATGGCATCCATGCTTTCCCCCCACGCCTGGCTCTGGGGAGCATCTTTTGACTTTGCAAAGCATGCCACATACACAATCTTTTCAACCCCACAACAACTTATGGGAGACAAGAGTAACGTAACTCTCCCTATTTTTTTTTATTTTATTTATTTATGATAGGCACAGAGAGAGAGAGAGAGAGAGAGAGAGAGAGAGAGAGAGAGAGGCAGAGACACAGGCAGGGGGAGAAGCAGGCTCCATGCACCGGGAGCCCGACGTGGGATTCGATCCCAGGACTCCAGGATCAGCGCTCTGGGCCAAAGGCAGGCGCTAAACCGCTGCGCCACCCAGGGATCCCCCTAACTCTCCCTATTTGATGATAACCATGTTACAGAAAGGCTGTGCATTCGGAGGAACCAATGCTTTTTTCTCTTCGTATTACTTATCCGCATCACAGTCCATTAACCACAATGAGAAATGGCTTCTCTCCAAACCGCATTCCTTGAATGTCCCTGGCAAGTCCCAGAAAAAGGGTGGAACACCAAGGATGTCTGTCCACCGAGTGACCCATCACAAGCCCATCCCCTCCACTCATCATACAGATAGGCCATCACTTCTCGTGTGGCAAAATACACTGTATTGGCCAAAAACATTGTCATAAAACCATTTGCTGTGGTTGAGTTGGGGCATTGCTGCCCACGCCCGTATGCACTGATCCATCTCCTGCCAAAACAGTTTTTATCATCTTGTCCAGGCTTCTTAAACGTGACCCCTCCGCCCCCCACCACCTTCCCCCCCTCAAATTTGGAACAAGATTGGGCCCTGTTGGCCAAACAGCCACCGAGATGAGATGTGGAAAAGCCCTTTCAACCTTTGCGCTCCGGCTAGCGGGGACCTTGCAGACCGCCCAGTCTTCTGTGCTTCCGGAGATGGAAGAGCTTAGGTCCGGAGCTACAAAAGTGGGTCAGAAGAGCCCATTTTCCAGGCTCTGTGTGGCCTGGGCTTTGCTTCGTGTGCTGATGGGCAGGTCGCGGAAGGCTTTGTGTCACACACGTCGGGATTCTGGGCGCCACGATCGGTTTCCCAAAGCCCAGGCCGGCCCACGGGGTCGGTGCGGCGACGGCGAGCGCAGGGGCCAGGCCGGCGCCCCGGGTCTGCGCTGTCCCCGGGCCTGCGGGGCACGAGCCTACCAAGACCAGGCAGGAGAATGGGAACCCCCTTCCGGCGGCCGCCGGACACGGTGGGGCGCAGGACAGCGGAGAGAGGAGGATGCGGAGGTTCACAAGGTCACCTCGCGGGGACGTGACGCCCCCTGTCCCCGGCCAGGCCTCCCCGCGCCGCGGCCGCCACCGAGTCCCTCCTCGCGGTCACGCGGCCTCTCTTGCTTCTTCATTTCCTGCATTTCCCTACTCCTTTCCCTCCTCTCCATTATCCTGTCGCAGACAGGCTCTTAGAGCTCTTCCCCCCTCCACCCCCACGCACCCCTCATTCATTAGTCATTAACCCGAGATCCGCGTCTACCCCGGCAGTTGAACGGAGCCGCAGAAACGCGGCTCGAAAAACACCCGGAGGGGACGCGGCGGGGGCGGGGGGGCGGGGGCGGGGCCTGCGGGGCTGCGGGGCCGGGCGGGGGCGGCGGGGGTGGCGGGGGCGGGGCCTGCGGGGCTGCGGGCCGGGGCTCGGGCGCCGCCGAGATGCCCGCACCGGCCGCGCGGGGGCAGAGTGAGCGCAGGCGGGCAGGCGCCCCCGCAAAGCGCGACCCCAAAGCGCCCCCGAAAAGCGCGGCCCCTGCAAAGCGCAGCCCCGAAAAGCGCTCACCCGAAAAGCGCAGCCCCCCCAAAGCGCGCCCCCCAAAGCGGCCACCCCCACCCGGAAAGCGCCCCCACTACAAAGCGCGCCCCCCAGATGGCACCCCCCCAAAGCGCGTCCTCCCAAAGCACGCCCCCCGCAAAGCGCGGCCCCGCAAAACGCGCCCCCTGCAAAGCGCACCCCCGCAAAGCGCGCCCCCTCCCGCAAAGGGAGGCCTCCGCAAAACGCGTCCCCTGCAAAGCGCGTCCCTACAAAACGCCCCCCCGCACACCACGCCGCCTGCAAAGCGCAGCCCCGCAAAGCGCGCCCTCCTCTCCCGCAAAGCGCAGCCCCGCAAAACGCGCCCCTACAAAGCGCCCCCCTGCATACCACGCCCCCTGCAAAGCGCAACCCCCCAAGTCGCGCCCCCTCAAAGCGCAGCCCCGCAAAGCGCGCTCTCCCCCTTCCACCTCCCCCCCCCCCCCCTCCGCAAAGCGCGCCCGGGAGCGCTTGCAGGGCCGGCGGCGGGGCGGGGTGGGTGTGGCCGCCGGAGCGGAGGGCGGCGGGCGGGGGCCTGTGTCCGCGGCGGGGCGGCCGCGGGGAGCCGGGAGCGCGAATCCCGCCTGGGCGAGGACAGACCCAGCTTTTCCCGAGACAAAGGAGGGTGTGCGGCTGCCTGCGACGGGACCGCGAGGCCAGGCTGGGCGAGCCGGGGTCCCCCCGCCACCCCGGTCACGGGTCCGCGGCCGGGGAACCTAACGGGCAGCGTGGTTTGGCCACTTGGGGGACCGGCAGGGATGGAGCCGCCCCCCGCAGTCTGGGGTGCTGGGGGGAAGGTTGATTTGCAGCGCGGGGGGGCGTCCTGCGAGCAGCGCCCCCAGGGGGCGGGGGTTAGCGCCACCCTCGGCCTGCGGCGCCCTCGGAGCTGCAATCGGAGCTGCTGCGCGACTGTTTGCCCCGGGTCAGCCCCTTAGGCCCCCCCACACCTGCACCCCGCGCGCAGCGGGGCCTGGCGGGCCTCTAGGGCTCCGCTCTGTGACACATCCCCTACTCGTGTGGCCAGGCTAATAACACTCATAAAATAGCAATAATAAACGCGTATTGCGTGCTGTGTGCCAGGCCTGCGCTGCTCTTACGTGGCCGGTGGTCCATAATGAGCAGCAACAGGCCGCAGCAAGGGCGCTTGAGAAAGTCACTGTATCAGATTTCCTTGGTTTCGGGTTGAGAGCATGAGAGGGATTTTTTTTCCCCCTTCCAAGAAGGGCGCTGGGTCTGGGGGTCCCTCAACCTTCAGATGGGCAAGAAGCCCTGTTCATTTATTATTATTATTTTTTTTTTAGAAAAGGTGGGGTTACTTGGCTACCTCGAGGGAGGATTCAGCTTCCAGATTGTTTTCCCCCACAATGTATTTTTTAAGGAATTTTCTTGTAACCCTCCAGAGTTATAGCTTCCCTCGAACAAGTGGAGACGCTGGACCTAAAAGGCAACGATTGGTAGATTGGTAGGAAGGAGCCGAGGAGCTGTTAGCACTGTGAGAAGGGGGGAGCTTGCCACAGGACCCACTTCCCCTGTTGTCTTCCTCTTAGCTTGGGAGGCACGTGAGCATGGACTTCCTGGGTAGCAGGGGCTTGTGGAGATAGAGGAATAAACTGTCAGAGAAGAAGGATTCTCCATAGGGACTAGCTGATCTGAGAAAAGAGTTGAATTCTGGAGCCTGGCAAGAATGGCCTGATTAAGGGGTCACTAGGAGACTTGGGTTCTGCTGACACACAGTGCCCCCAGGGTGGCCAAACCTTGTGACAGAAGAGTGTTGTGATTATCTGGGGCCCCAGGGATGGGAGCTGTGGTGATGGTCCCATGGCCTCCTGTGGGAGAGTTGGAAGGGGGAACACCAGCAGAGCCCCTGCCTTGAGGCAAACCATGTGGGCTTGACTAAGGAGACAAACAGGGATCACCCACAAGAAACTTCTATAGAGATGCTCCTGAGCCCCTGGGATTCTTGTGTGATCCCAAGAGAGGTGGAAAAGACCACCCTTCCCCCCCCCCCTTACCCTGCCGGAGGTAGGTTTACCTGTCAATCTTGATATGTAGGAGCTAGACCATCATTCACTTTGCCATAGACAAAAAAAAAAAAAAAAAAAAGCAATTTCTTGTTTTAGCATCCAAATATTTGTGACACTAACATTTATAGATGGATTCTCAAGCTAAAAGTGGACACCATTGTTAACTCTATATTTGAGGGAAATAAGACTTAGAGGAGATGATCACAGTCATACAACTAGCAAATGGTGGAGCCAAGGCTCAAATGCAAGTATGTGTGACTCCTGTTCAGGGATCACTGAACTTTTTTCTGGAAAGGGCCAAAGTGGTAGTCTCTGTGGCACCCCTTCAACTCTTACTGTACAAAACAACACATAAATAAATGAGCATATCTGTGTCCAAATGAAATTTTATTTATGAACCCCAAAAGGTGACATTTTTGTAATTTCTACTTGTCACAAAGTATTATTCTTTACATTTTTTTTTTCAACAAGAAATGTAAACACCATTCTTACCCTGACTGGCAGACTGTACAAAAACAGGCAGAAAAAAAAAGAAAAGAAAAGAAAACAAGTACGTATGGGGGACCCGATTTGACTTGTGGGCTGTAGTTTGTCAACTCTTGCTCTAGTGTCGACCTAATCTGTATTTGCAGGCACTTCCTGCCTCTGGACCTAAACTAGCCAGCCCTAGTTTAGGGCTGATTTTGAGAAAAATCAAAGACATTTGCCTACTCACACTTCAAGAGCTTTAAAAAGTGTCCACTTCCTAAAGAAGCAGCTCTTCAACCTCAAGCCATGATTACATCAAGGTTGCATTCTGTGAGGGAGTATGACATATTAGAAAGGGCAGTGGGCTTGACATTAGAAAAACGCTTCAAATTCCAAACTGTGTAACTTTGAGCAAATGAGCCAGGTTGTCAGAGGTTCAGTGTCTTCATCTGTCAATGGCAATGCTTGCCTCAGAGGTTAACTATGGCTTCATATTAGATCAAAGCACATAAACTCTACAGTACAGACAGGCACATTCAGAATTTGAGATGCCTAAACTTTATTCAACTTGGGGACCTTATCTAAGAAAAAGATTACGAAATTTTTATTAAAGAACCGCTAAAAGTAAAGATTTATTTAGAATGAGAAAAAAAAACCCAACAAATATCGAAGTCTTAGAGATTCAAGTGGTTTTCTTTTTTTCCTTCTTTTTCTTCAAATTTTATTTATTTATTTGAGGGAGAGTGAAAGCAAGAGAGATCACAGGGGGAGAGGGAGAAGCAGACTCCCCACTGAGCAGAGAGCCAGATGCAGGGCTCAATCCCGGGACCTTGGGACCATGACCTGAGTCAAACAAAGGCAGACGCCTAACTGACTGACCTACCCAGGTGCCCCTCAAGTAGTTTTCTTATATTTCTCCCAGCAATATACCAAGAATCCTTACGTGCAGAATTGTCTTGTTTATGACCCGGCTTTTCCTCTTCATCAAGGACATGCTGGAACTCCTAGCAATGCACAGCATTCGTGTAGGTCCTGAAGCTTAGTGTAACACTGTGTGGCAGCAGTGGGAAGGTGGTAACACAGAGGGGAATTGATCAAATAAATACACATATTAGAGAAAATGGGGGGCAGCCCCCGTGGCTCAGCGATTTAGCGCCGCCTACAGCCTAGGGCATGATCCTGGAGACCCGGGATCGAGTCCCACATCGGGCTCCCTGCATGGAGCCTGCTTCTCCCTCTGCCTGTGTCTCTGCCTCTCTTCTCTCTCTGTGTCTCTCATGAATAAATAAATAAAATCTTAAAAAAAATAAAAATAAAAAAATAAAGAAAATGGGAGCTTAATTTCTCATTATCAGAGAAGGGAGGTAGAAATATTGAAAACAGAATGAACTTTTTGGTGCTGGGATAAAAATCAGAAGTATTGGTGTGAACTTGTAATTTTCAATACAGACAGATACGGAGATGATCGATGATAGTGGGTATATGTAGATGTCAGTGTACGCACATGTGTGCGTGTGCACGCGTACATAACCTAGCGCTATCCACTAAGAACAGCAACAACCCAAAAGTAGTGAGGTCACTTAGTTCGCAGATCTTGTTTCCTAAATACCTAACTTGTTTTATTTCCTCTAAAAAGAGGGACCAAGGTTGTTGGACAAATGGCAGGGTTGGGAAAAGAAAGTCCACATAAACCTGGAATATTTTATTGTATCAAAAAGTAAAGAATAAAAGAAAAAGTTCAGAGAATGAGAGACATACATTAAAAGGACACAGAAGCCAGCTTTTTTTTAAAGATGTATTTATTTATTTATGATAGACATAGAAAGAGAGGCAGAGATACAGGAGGAGGGAGAAGCAGGCTCCATGCCGGGAGCCCGACGCGGGACTCGATCCCGGGTCTCCAGGATCGCGCCCTGGGCCAAAGGCAGGCGCCAAACCGCTGAGCCACCCAGGGATCCCCAGAAGCCAGCTTTATAAGGGCTTTCACTGGCCAAATCTGGGATAATTTGAGCATTAAGCTAGATCATAATAGCAAGAGAATACAAATTGTTGAATACAATGGGTGAGCTGATACTGATATAAATGGATGGATGAATGGAAAGTTTAATGAAGAAAGTGATATTTACATAGTTTCAGAACAACCCTCACCTCACCCCTACCACAGACAGACACACACACAGACACACACAGAGACACACACACACACACACACACACAGTGAATACTCAGTAGATACAGGGGGGGGAAAGAGGAATATGCAGTGGAGAAGTCTAGAAGACACGATTTTAATCAAGGGATCAAAGTGAACATTGTAAGAAACAGCACAAATCAAGATCATGGGCAGAGAGGGAAGCACAGCATTACTTCTGTAATAAACTATTCCAGATTGAAGGAAACTTGAAGGGACATGGCCACTAAATGCAATTCATGTTCTGAAACGAAATCTTTTTGCTGTAAAAACGATTATTGGGATAATTAGTGAAATGATGGAAATTGGGAAACAGAATAGAAGTACATTATCAATGTGAATTCCTGATTTTGATGATTGTTGTGACTTTTTTTTTTAATTCAGCACACAATAAAGCACTCAGGGATGATGAAGCATTGTGTTGGTAACTTATTCTCAAATGGCTCAGGGGAAAAAATATCTCTTTGATAAACTCTGAAATTTTCTGGAAACTTAAAATTATTTAAAAATTGAACATGCCTAACGTGAAAAGTAATAGATTATACATTTCATAAGAACAAGAATAAAAAAATAAAAAAAGAACAAGAATCATGCCTTATATTTCTTTTGAATCCCTCATAAGAAATTCATAGATCTAGACATATGTGTAGGTATTCGGTAAATATTGTTGAATAGAAACTTACTGAGTGAAGTGGGCAATGGGATAACACTTCAAGTGTCAGACTACCACAAAAATTGTCTCTATTATTTTTTAAGGTTTAAGAAAACATTTATACATGGCGTACCATCTCTGTTATCCACGCATGCGTGCATTAACAGAATCTGATGCTGAAAGCAAATAAAACATACAAGATTAATGTATGGGCACTTAATTATAAAACTATTTGGTTCATTGGTAATAAGGCATAGTAATAATCTGCAAAATACTAAAAAGCAACTGAGACACCCTTTTTATAATTATTTCAATCCATAGGAAATTTTAGGCCTAACCGTAGAGCTAAAAGAAATGTGATCTGATAATAGTAATATTATAATTAGTAATAGTAATAGTAATATATATATATTTTTCTCTCTGGCTCCCCTACCTCTACATGGTGGTGGCTCCAAAGAGCAGCACAGGGACCAGGCTTTCCTTCCACTTCCTGCCCTCCCTGCTCTGACACGCACAGCAGGCTCACCAGCCTCACACCTGATATCACACAACTTGAGCCTCCAGAAGTCCCCTCAGGAAGGATATGTCCTTCCTAAACTCCTA